GTATGAGGTGTGGAAAGAAGTTCATGTGGTGCTCACTTTGGCAGCATATATTAAAATTGGAACTATACGGAAAGAAGTTCGTGTGGAGCAATCAACTTACTTTCCATAAAAGGAACAACATGGGGGAGATGCCTTTTGGGATTGGAGTGTCCTGAATTCCTGTAAAAAGGTTGACTAATATCAAAAATATACAGTAAAGGCAGTGCTTCACTCAAGAATTGTGAATTGATGTGTCTTAAAGGGCCGCACAAAAGAAAAATGGCATATAAGCACATACTGTGGGAAGAGCTTGCAATGCTTTTGTTTCATCTTCAGATGAAATAGCTTTGCATTGCTGCCATCATAGGGCTAAGAGAAAGTGACAGCCCAAGATCATTTAGTGTCTAATATAGGACTAGAACTCATGGTTTCCCGGTTTCCAGCTGGTGTCTTAACCACTCCACCAAGCTGACTTCTTCAAGTGGAATAGAAACTTTATTTTTGGAAAATAAGTTATTGTAGGTACGCATGGGAAAAACATTAGAATGCATAAAATGCGGGAACAGTTTGAGATAAAAATGTTCACTTGGGAAAGGAATATAAATGCAGGGAGAATGGGAAGAAGTTAAGCAAGGGCCGGTCCCTTATTTTCCATGACAGGATCCATATCGAAGAACCACAAGTACACGTGTAGGAGAAGAATTATCAAGTTGGAGTCCAGAATTTCAGTATAAGGAGCTTTTATTTCCCACAAAACGTTTCACATAGGAGAGACAATATAGACATAAATGCATAGAACAGCATTTTATCTGTCTTACAGTATTTCCCATACAAGAATCGACTTTAAGGATCCAGTAAGTACAATGCTCCCACAGAAAGAAGTGAACAGTTCAGAAGATCGTCATAAGAGAAACTGAATAAATGTATGCATTATGGAAAGAGCTCCTAAAACAGATTTGTTTTTATACCAGAGGCATTACCTAGTTAGTTATGTCTTTTTCACAAGAATCTTTTATTACATTGTCCTGCTTATGCCAGTATTTGTCAAGACCTGTGTCTGCTCAATTTGCTTTATTTGCCGTAGGTAG